ATATACCAGTGTATGTTGATATGTATGTCAATCCCACTAATTAATTAAATAAATTTGATGCAATCATACAAGTTGGCCTGCCTGGGAGCTTTAGCATGTTCTATAAATGCAGACGATCTGCTTCCGTTGTCGTTATAGTTAGGGTGAAACGTGGTCCAATTGACCCCAAAACTTACTTGGACTCTACTTTATATTTAGCACATACCATGTTGTTACTTGTTATTGTTGCTATATTATTAAAATCGATCATGTTATTATGAGCACATGATATATTAGTAGCATATTAGTATTATTGTATACGTACTATTGTTGAATAAAATGCATCTAAAATCACAAATAAATGAATGTGTATACATAATTTATACTCCCTCCGTCCCGGAAAATTGTTCCCGCATTGATTTGGAACGGAGTTTAAGAAAGTGAGAATAAAGTGGAAATGTATGGTTGTGGTTCAGTAAGAAAAAGGTAAATGAATTATAGCCACAGAAAACTTTCCAAAAGGGGAAAGGGGAACAATTTTTTGGGACGGCCCAAAAAGGAAACAGGGAACAATTTTCAGGGACTGAGGGATAATTAATTCCATATTTCTATCTAGCTCATGGATCAATTTGATTTGTATATTTAAGAAAAGCGTTCTTCATATAACGCCGATTTGATAGCAACTTACTTACTAGCTAGGTGGTATACACAAACAATCCGTGTATACGTCTAGAAAAACTGTTAATTTGATAGGTTGGAGTGGTCTAAATTGTAGGGGTGGGTACGGTCCGGAACGGTCCGAGAAATTAGTAAAACCTGTAATGTATCCGTGAGGTTTCTAACGTTACCGGATCCGATCCGGTTCTAAGGATAGAACCATTCGGTACCATGTCGATTCGGAACGGTACAAAACGGTACGGTACAATGCCAAACGCATGTTAAAAAATTGGAGTAATCTTGCAATTATTAAATAACATCACACCAACCAACTCACTTTAAGTGTTGATATAAATACAAGAAATTGCATACGTAGTACTAAAATACACGAATAGTGCAACACAACTAAGAGAAAATATAGCAAAATGATGATACAGGAGATAAATATCATCTTTCATTTACTAAGTTCATGTGAAAATATAAAAAGAATATAATCAAATTGTTCAATATAATAGAAAAATTCAACGTTCTTTTTCTTTGTTATAGGATAAATATTATTTCTAATTTAATTTATAGTTGAACCGTGAGAGCTAAGATTTAAATCATACGTAGTATTAATTAAGCTGTACAATTGCACAAACATGATACAACAAAAAGTCATATATACTACATTACTAGAAATTAATAGTCATTAGTGATTTTTAAAACTTTAACATTCTTTCAATACATACCAAAATATAACACAAAGTTATCTATACAAAAAATAACAATATACAAATAAACACACACATTTAGCTATTTTAGGGACACATGAATACATTTTGGGTATAAAATTATTGGTCTATAAAATATACTCCGTATATATTTATTGGTATGGAAGAAAATATAAAAAATTCAAATGCATTATTTTTGAACGGTTCGGTTCGGTATTTTTCGGTTCTCAAAATCTAAGACCGATCCCGTACTCGTTTCAAACGGTACGGTTTCGGTTCGGGATAAAAAAATTTATAGAACCGTTTAAATACCCGATATTCGGTTCGGTACCATTACAGGCCGGTTTGGTACCGGTTCGGGTTTTATGTCCACCCCTACTAAATTGATCACTTCCCATACTTGATTCTTTATGTAGGAGATTTTGAGTTTAGAAGATCCATGAATTTGGGAGACTTTTTTAAATGATGCTCTTCTAACCTCGAGTGCAGATACAATCATTGCATCGTCTCACCTCAAGCGGCTATATGAGATTTGAAAAAAATTGAGGGACATATTTTTGAACTCTTTTCATGATTTCATCCACACTAGTTAAGCATAAAGATGAAAATTATCATCAAGGTATTGGAGTACTCATCATATTAGATTGATCCTTTAAAATTGAACCAAAGTCGTAAAATTGGTAGAGCCAATTCAGCTCGAACAACGAATCAATCCGATTAACCCATAAAAACGAGCACACGAAAATCATGTTTGGTCTTCTACTCTTCTCCAATTCCAATAGGTATATATTGTCTTGAGGAAGTAAATTAAGTGATTCCATATATCAACCAAATATTAAGATATAAATCAACATCCAAGGTCTTCAAACTTCTTTTGTTAGGTTATAAGGTTGAACTTTAGAATGGAATGCAATGGGTCAATGGAATGTAAGGATTATAAGGTTGAACTTTAGAATGGAATGTACGTAGTTATAATTAGGAATAAAGTATACGGAATATATATCTCTAAAATATAGAACAGCCGCGCTATTTGTTGTTGACTCGTGTAGCTTCTTAAAATTTGCTCTCCCATTCCCATGAATTCCCACTTCACTTAGGCAGGCTTTCTAATAGGATTATTTGAAACAAATCGAACTTTTGTTCTCTATTTAATTTGTATCAGCACTACTACTAGCGTGGGTTAGCCTCATTTTTTAAATACATGTATTTCAAACGACTCCAATTTTACCAAGATACTTTTGGTTTAAGTTCAGCCATCTCATATAATCATATATAGATGTTCCGAGAGATCGCGGCATATATACACTTTCATTTCTACTACGTATTTTTTTGCGTGGTGCAAATCGATGTTATTGGAATAGTTTTAGTCTGAGTTCAGATCGGAGCTAATTTAAACGTATCAATCAAACAAGACAAAATCATATCAACGTACGTTTAACAGTTGCAAATTACACATAGATCAGGAATGTACCAACCCCGACTAATACGAAGTTTTCCAAACTAGAATTAAACGGACCAAATTAAAACATCTTTAAGAAAATATCGTCAAAAGTAAGGAAAAGGTTTTTGAAATTACCCAAATGATAGGTAAAAATAATGTAATATTTCAAAATATTTGTTCTCCTTCATAATATACTTCTATATACAGAAAAAATATAACTTAATTTCATTTTTCAACATCATATATACTCATTGCATATTTTGGAAAGTTTTCCAAAATCTTTTGAATATTTAGAATGTTTTCTTTTGGACTGAAATTTGCTGGTCTGGTCTGTTTAAGTTTGGTCTGGTCTGGTCTGAACTGGTCTGGTCTGGTCTGGTAAACGTCTGATCTCTGTGTATTTTATAACTACGGAAGTCTGGTCTGGTCTGGTCTGGTCTGGTCTGGTCTGAGACTGAAAACAATTCAAAAGAAAACATCCTTACTTGCAGTAATTTCCCAAGTGAGAGCTGGTAGCGATGCCAAACGTGCCAAAAATCGCTAGTAATTGACAAAAAAAGTAAGAATTGTTAATGCACAAAAAAAGATTAGAAAAAGGCGTAAAATAAGCTATGAGTCTATGATCGACTTTTCAAGAAAGGGTGACATCCTATGTAGCACGGAAACTCTCAGAGGGAAGAGTACGTTTTCGTTTCGGAATTTCTACGAAAACTCTACAGACAAGCATTTTTAAGCAAAAGTTGACTTTTCCCGTTTCGCGTGTTACTCAAGATTTTTGCATTTCCGTGCAACATAGGCGGCATCTCATTTTTGAAGACCCAACATCGATTCGACCGAATTCTTAATTGGGAAGATATGAATTAAACTTCCATAATACTCCCTTCGTAACAAAAAAATCTTCTCACTTTCCTTTTTCGTCCGTAACAAAAAAATCTTCTCATTTCTAAATCTTCTCATCATACCATCAATAATTTTGAAAATAATACACTATTACAACTACTTTTTCTGAATTTATCCTTCTTTCCAACACATTATTTCACTATTTTTCATCATACCTTTAATAATTCATATCATCTTTGACTATTTTTAATCTAATTACTTTTGAAATGGGAAGGTTTTTAAGTTGGAGTATAATAGACCGGTACATATCAAATGAGACTATGGGTGTATGTGGTCAAAGTATATGTAGAGCGATGAACAGACTTTTGAAATATTTACATATGTGGCTGCTTAGATTCAAAATGGGAAGGTTTTTAGGTTGGAGTATAATAGACCGGTACATATCAAATGAGACTATGGGTGTATGTGGTCAAAGTATATGTAGAGCGATGAACAGACTTTTGAAATATTTACGTATGTGGCTGCTTAGATTCAAAATGGGAAGGTTTTTAAGTTGGAGTATAATAGACTGGTACATATCAAATGAGACTATGGGTGTATGTGGTCAAAGTATATGTAGAGCGATGAACAGACTTTTGAAATATTTACCTATGTGGCTGTTTAGATTCAAAATGAGAAGGTTTTTAAGTTGGAGTATAATAGACCCGTACATATCAAATGAGACTATGGGTGTGTGTGGTCAAAGTATATGTAGAGCCATGAACAGACTTTTGAAATATTTAAGTATGTGGCTGCTTAGATTTGTGTCACTGCCGTACCAAAACTCGTAAACGACTTCGAACTTTATTATCCTGTCCTCGTTCTTAACGTTCAGAATTAGCCTCACAAGTCACGAGTATAATTCTATCCACCGTACCCATATCTATATTTATGAAGGGACATTTTAATTATGTCTTGTCACAACGTAACCTTTGTTAATTGTTCCTAATGGTTTCGAATTAATTTCGATTCTTGTTTTGTTTACGTTCAATTTAAATAAATATAATTCAAATAATACGAGCATGCTATGTTCCAATAATCATGTAAATTGTCTGGTGGCCGCTAGCGCCAAATTAAATATCACCCCCCCATAACGCATCATATAAATATTCCGTATATTTTTAATTAATTTACACAAGCACTCATATAGAGACAGTCGATATTCTCTATTAATTAATACTACTATTTAATAATTAATTATAGCAATTTTAGTGAGTACCGTAATTCCAAGTCCCACTTGCTACAATTATTTCTTAATTGAACCGTTGGAATAATAGGCCGTACTACACACTTCTAATTCTATATATGTGCCGTTCATATTCATGCTAGCTACTTAACTTGTGGAGTAACTTGATTTTGATGGGAATGGCAATAATTACGATAATCCGTTTACATACGATAGCCGGTCAGGCGAGGGAAGCATTAGCCGGAGCGAGACGGAGAAGAGGTGGAGGAGAAGTTCGGAAGGGTCACGTGGCGGTTTACGTCGTCGGAGAACGGCCGGAGGCGAAGAAGCAACGGTTCGTGGTTCCGATATGGTATTTGAAGCACCCGCTGTTTCAACGGCTGTTGAGGCTGGCCGAGGAAGAGTATGAGTTTCATCATCCCATGGGCGGCCTTACCCTTCCATGCACTCCCTCCGCCTTCTTGGCCGTCACCTCCGCCATCCATTGTCAATAACCATCCATTTTCTTGGTTTGCCACCGCCGGGCCTCGGCCCCCTAGGAAATTTTGTTTTTTATGTACATATGCATAAATTAAATAAGGGGTATTTAGTGTTTGCACCCTGTTTTATGTGATGAAATGGACCATGCACCCTAAATTTAAAATCCTTAGTCTTTGCCCCGTAACTTAAATGTGTCTGTTAGTTAGACTTATACAAATTCAAAAATGCCAATAATACCCTTTACACATCATAATAATGCCAGAGATCCATATAAAAAGCTTTTGTCAACATATACACGGTCAAGGTGGTTGTATGCTTTTCACCACCTCACTTCTCAACATGTGGCCGCCTTCCGTAGCTCCTTTAGTCGCCCCAGCCCCCCACACCAGGGAAATTCTGTCAAGATATCTTCTTTTCACTTTGATGATATAATCCAGATTGTCTCAGTCGATGCTGATGGAAAAAAGTATGACAAAATTTCTCAAATCAAAGCAAAGACAAGAGATGGCGTGACAAATATAGTGCTAGATATAAATTCAGAGCTATATCCTGTTAAGGTGAAAGAATATTATAGGATGGTGCACAGACACTTGCTTTAGATGGGTCAAGAACCCACCCTCAGGGCCAGATGAAATCACTGACAGACAAGTTTGAATATATCATGCATGGTGTTCGAACAATGAATACCTCTAATTATGAATTTGAAAAAGGGAAAATTAAGATATGTTATTTTAAAAAGTGAACATACTTACAAGTAGGGATTGTATAAGCATGTGTACTGACTGTCATTGCTGCCACAGGTCATTAGCTCCAACAACAATCTGAACAAACAGGTCAGGAAGATGACTTGATATTTCGGGATACTTTGCAACTTTCCTGAGATTGTTTGAGTTCCTGCTCAATAATACCCAGCTACAAAAAGTCCCAACAGTTCAAAATGTACTGCTTAAAGCAGGACTACAGAACATAAAACCCAGGCTACAACACTCCCATAACTGAAATTCACACATGCCCTGTGTAAAGTTGCTCTTATTAATGAACTGGAATTCTCAAAGTTAGGCAGTACCTTTATTTTAACTGAATAATATAAACTGAACAATTCCAGAGTGAGTAAAAAGGGCCAGAAAATAAGGAGCAATTCCATATCCATCCTATAATTAGTATTCCACTAAAAGGATAATGTAAAAAACTAAAAAGCTAGAAAAACATATCATTGAACACCATAACATTTAAATTTGTAAAATCCATTCATTAGCATCAACATTAGCTGACTTGATCCAACCAACTGCAGATCATCAAGACACACACATCTCTTGTTTCTTTCATTATTTGCACTTGTTGGAGTCTAAAGAATAAATAAATTATGGTTTCCAAATGTAATTCCAATCACCATTCCACTAGAGCCTTAGTTTGAATTTCTTTTGTTTGGTAATGATGTTTATGTTTGGTTCCAGTACGTTCAAAACATACAAATTATCCAAGGGTATGTTCATGTAAAAAAAAGGTGGCGTCCATAAGCCCCAAAACTATGTGATCTGTGAGCCACATAGTTAATCCAAAAAACAAATTAATTAATCCAAAAAATTGGGATTATCCAGAATCATTCAAAAAATGATAAAATATTAAAATTAAAATAAATTAAAAGGAAAACATTCTTTCAATCTCCCTTTTTAATGATTACAGAACCGTTTTCTTAAAATAAATTAAAAGACAAACATTCTTTCATCGGATATATTTCTTGAAAGGAAATAGTTGGCTTTTGAGCTACCTTTTGGTGTGAAATTTGATGAGTCCGATCCCTGGGGCGTCGCTCGGTATAGAAAAAGTTTGACAAAAAGATTATGTTCATATCTTTAATTTACATCAATCGAAACAAATAAAACAAGATCCACTGCCTATTCTACTTCGTATTTATTGGGGATGCCGCTCAAAATTCCTAAGGTTTTATATCACAAAATGAAGTATCTAGAAACTTACTTGGAGCCGGTAAAGAATTCATCTTTCTCTTCACATGAAGCTTCAAAGTCGTCCTTAGTATCCCTTCATTCATCGCACTATCGCAGCCCTAACTCAGTACGCCCATTTGATGTTGAGATGCTTCAGAAAGCCGAGGTTTTGAGAAAGAAGAATGCAATGGACGGTCTTTACTTAGGTCAGGGCATTACGGTCATTTTCCACCAATGTTAACCTCTTAACAGATTCTTAACGGAGACAGGGTGAAAATACTAAAAATTTGGGGTGCATAGTCCAATTCATAAGATAAAACAGGGTGCAAACACTAAATACCCCATTAAATATTTATAGACAATAAAAAGATCGATATACTCAAACTTTAAATTTTGGTTTTCATAACATAAATTCTTTAAAGCTTTGATTCTCCTAATTTACCATTTCTGGCTCCATCACTAATTAGGTCAATAATCTTACGGCCAGGGTAGCCAATACGTTACGGAGTAATATACTCTGTATAGTATACATATACAATTCATATTCCTTTTTTATTTTTTCTTTCCCTTGTACATATGTCAAATGCACCATGCCGCAAATCTTACTATATACATTAAGCGCCTAAGAGGGTTAGTTGGCCTATTCCCGTTTCTACAGTGCTGGATGGAAACATGAAATTTGCGCAGGGCAAACTAACGCCATATTCCCGTTTGCTTGCTTCGGTTTGTTCCTGTTCAAGCGAGGTACGGAGTAATATCCAACTCCTTCTCTTGCTAGCCAGATATAACTTCATTTCATCGCTCTTCGAATTGATAGTCTAGGGTTCACAAAATCCTTCTGCCGCCCCGAGCTAGGTACCTTACCGTTTCATCTTCTCCTCCATTCTCCCTGGGCGGAATCAATCTTGCTATCAATTTCTCTATTGCTATCCAATTGTCGATTACAAGCAGGGGCGGATCCAGGATTTAATGTTGGGCTGGGCTGAAAGTTTTAATTGATAATACATTGATTTTTTTTTTCAAAATAAGCGAAAAATCAAATATAAAAGGTATCCCCTAAATTTGTTCTAGACAAGGCTTTGAAACAAAAAACTCATCAACAATAGAGTCTACATCTATACTGAAAGTAATATCTTTTTCAATGTAAAGTGTCATGCAATCAGCAAGAAAACTATCATCCATTTTATTGCAGAGTGTTGCCTTTAGAAGTTTCACGACAGAAACTGATCATTCTATCTACTATTGCAGTAGAAACAATAAGACCAATACGAAGTGAATCAATGTAGTCATCTTAACATATGAATCACACCTTTTGCTTTTAGTTAATTCCTCACATAATTTAACAAGTGTAGATACTTGAAACTTGATATCATGAATCATTCATGAACATAGTGTTGCAGCTCGAATTTCAAAGCACGAATGTCCTGACTACTAAAATCTTCGGGATAAAACTTCCTTACAAGAGTACAAATAGCATCGACATTGAACGACTCATATGAATTTTTTGGATCAAATGAAACACTCAAAGAAAGGAGTTCCACTGATTTATCATTAAACCGGGTCGTTAACTCCATGAATAAAAGTATATTACCTCATTGAAAACATCAAAGTAATAATGATTATCAATTGTAGTTTCTTTTCAACAATGACCAACCATATATTTAGAAATTAGAATTCAAGTCTGGTGCATATATGAATTTATTTTTTGAGAAAAACTCATTCACTTCTTCAAGAAAACATTTCCATCTATGAGTTTTGCTAGGTGTGCACAAAATGTGTACACATGTCGGTCCTTCATAGAAATTTTGTCCCAAGCATGAAAAATGTCTATATACACTACAAACTAAAGTAAATCGAACACAAATTCAAAACATGAAAAATGTCTATATACACTACAAACTTTTGCCCAAGAACTCACTTTTGGGCAATTAATGTTGTTGAAGATACTCAAACACTTTACAAGTTCATGTGAACATGCTAATCAAGTTCTTAATTGAATCATATTTTATTGTATTTATTACATTGATGCTTTGTGGGCTTTATGGACATTATACGTATAAATTAAGTGCCACTTATTAAGTGGGAGGTGATGTGTATAACATTTATATTAGATTTTTATATGGTAAGATTTTGTTTTATAGACTAGGCTGAAAAATTGGACTGGGCTATACAAAAACCCGGGGTGGGCTAGATGGAATTATGTCAAAATAATACCTTAAAAAACTTATTTTTTTTTGCTTTGCCCTGGGCTTCGGCCCACCATAGCCCTAACATAGATCCTCCCCTGATTACAAGCAACCTCACCGTTTCTTCTCCTCTTCCAATCGCCCTGGGCGAAACCAGTCTCGCTATCTCCATCCAATTTTCGACGACAAGGCACCGTCGCCACCGTGACTGGCGATGCTCAAATTGCTGATTCCCATTGGCCCTGGTCGGGATCAGTCTCTCAAGACCTAATGGCTTCTAGAGTTACCCATGTATGCTTTCTTTTTCTTCAACAACATTTACTTCAATCGGATTTTGTATTAGCATGGAATATGAATAGAACTTAGGATCTCATTTCTTTATTTTAATATGTAATCAATTACTAATCAAATTAGCTTCTTAATGCAATTCTTTAGCTTCTTAATCAATTAGCAGCATGTAAGTTTTTTTATTTATCTGCAAACTTTTTAGGTGAGATGTTTTTGTAAAGGCAAATCCATTTCTAATTTAGTCTTGATTGATTCACGATGGTATCAAGAATGATTGGATATCTATAATCTGAGTTTCAAGTTGAAGAGATGTGTTGTGAGATGAGTAATATAACACAACTAAGTTAGCATGTATTTTGTTTAGTTATCTGCTAACTTTAGCGCCAATCTATTGCGTATCCCATTACTTAAGTTGTTGAAACCCCCCAATTCTTGATTCCTTTTTATCCATCTTTTTCATTTTTCACTTAAAAGTTCTACACTTTAATCCATTTTTATTGGTCGACTGGTGGTTTTTTTTAAGTCATAAAGAAGTAAGATTGTAGTCATTAATACCTTCTTTATTGCAGTGATAGAGAATGGAAATGAAAAAAGGATGCATCTAAGGAAGAAGAAGGACACTACAAAGATAATCAGCATTGCAAATTCTAGGGGGTACTACGAAAAGGAGATACATTTATAATATGGAGCATTGGAGGCGGTTGGATCTACACTAGGAATATGGAGTAACACCCTGACCAGGTTGGGTGTTACATATGTTG